TATCCCCTACATGATCAGGGATTTTTCTCTTGTAAAACTGGGTTTGGATTCAAAGAGAGAGACTCTCTTCATACAAGGCCTCTGTACACTATGGCTCCGCCCATGCATTCTGGATAGGAATAATTTATTGAGGAAGAAGCATCCCTGTTAATTCATGATGGGCACTTTTTTTTTTTAAATACTGGAAACATTTAACATCCTTTTATCATTTCAATAATTAAGAAACCTAGGATTCATCACACTCTTTCACTGGAAGGAGGTAGGACACTGAAGAAGAATTTTAAAATTCAGTAAGAGTAGCCCTGGCCAGTTTGGCTCAGCGGTTAGAGCGTCGGCCTGCGGTTCAGAGAGACCTGGGTTTGGTTCCCGCTAAGGGCATGTACCTCGGTTGCAGTTTGTCCCTGGTCCTGGTTGGTTGTGCAGGTGGCAGCCACTCGATGTGTCCCTTTCGCGTCGATGTTTTTCTCTCTCTCTCTTCCTCTCTCTCCCTCCCACTCTGTCTAAACAAAAGATGGAAAAAATGTCCTCGGGTGAGGAAATAAATAAATAAATATTCAGTAAGAGTAAAGGAGAGACTTAAGACTGAGTGTAGGTAAACCTGTTTGTTAGTCTTGATTAACCCCAAGGATAGCTTTAACTTTAAACTAAATAGCATCCTTTTCCATGAAAACATAAAAAAATGTTTTAGATGAGAAAAATAGATCCTTGATATTTTTCCATCTAGGTCATGAAGGAAAAGGAATAGACAGTGTTGTTCAAAGAGTAGTTGTCCATCTGCTTACTCAGGCAGTTACCGGTTCCTTGGGGAGAGAGCCAGTGTGAGCAATCTGTGATTATGGTCTTTGTGTAATCTAATGTGGGTCGATGATGCATGAAGTACCAACATGTGTTTCCCATCCTGCCCCCTCAACCTGTGTTTCATTGAACATGTTCACTTGTACCTTTTTTTCCTCTCTCCAAAACTAAACAAAGACTCTCTGAGTTAAGAAAGAGGAAGCAGAGGAGAATTTGAGCATAAGCAAGAGAATTAGACCCTGAGATCGAAGACATGGGTGAAAGTGGGGAACACAATAGAACCTCAGATAAGTTTAGCAATTTAGAGGTGAAAGAGACTTTTGATTAATACCAGGAATGGGGAGCAGAAAAGTGAGCAAGATCATAAGATTCTATCCCCTTCTTTTCAATACCTTTTTAGGCAAAACATAGAATGCTGATAGGGAATGTCTAAGAGAGGGCCTGAGACCAATCTCAAAGGTGTGTGTCTCTCTCCTTCTGCATTAAGATCATCCTTGAAGAACTAAAGAGGGCCAGCAGATCCAAAGCCTGCAGTATGGGTAAGATGCAGTATTTGTGACCTATTGACCAAACCACAGACATCTTAGCACACTTCAACTGGGAAGGATGCCCTTGACCTTGGACCTGAAGTCACCCTGATGCCAGGATCCAACCTAGGACCCCAGAACTCATGTTCTGGGAAACTTTAAAGAATTTAAGGGAATCATGAGCTCATTCATTTCTAACCTAAAAATGATGGTGCTTTCTCAAAAATAACTAAGATTCTGTTTTCTGCCATTTGGTGGAAATGGGGCTCAATAAAGAATAAAAGAAAAATGGTAGTTTTTTCTTTGCACACCTGAGTTCATACCTGTTACACCAGTCACCCATGTGAGGTGCAGTGTTAGTGTTTCTTGGGAATCTGTAAGGTGCCCTGAATGTGGACTGAGGTCAACTCAGGTGGCACAAAACATTACTAGATGCTCTGACCAAGATTTTGTTTTCATCATTTTCTTTTCTGGACACAGCTGTCACCAAGGGAAGGTCTACTGCAAAAGCAGACAGTGAAACTTTTGAAACAAGAAAGTAGTTCCCTGGGCAACTGCAGCAGAATCGGAGGCACTGATGGAGGACAAGAAGCATGAGGAAGTTAAAGTCTGAACAAAGATACATGAGACAGCAGCACAGAAGACATTAAAGTCCTGGGCCCACAGATCAGTATCCACGGATCAGGTAGAGAGCCCCTCCCTGTGTGATGAGTCCTCTCCTCTACAAAATATTTGTCCAGCCACACTCCTCAGAGAGCACTGGGAAGGTTCACGTGATCATTCTATAAAGCATTTGAGGCTCCCTCAAAGCACTCTTCCTTATCCATCTGGCAAACATTACTGTCAAAGGCTTTGAAAATTTATCATATAACCCTTCCATTTTTTTCATCATAAGCACTTCCAAATTGCCCACTGCTGTTGTTAATGACTCACAGGATTCCCATGTCTCTTTCATGGAACACAATTCAGCTCTCTCTTTTTCCTCTGACTTATTTTACTTAGTGAAGTCCAATATATTTCCATGCAAATTTGAGAGCCTGCGCCTCCACTGTTCCTTCTGAGTGCTCTTGGCCCTTGCAGCTATAGCTCTGTAACTCCACAGTGGATGAAACAGTCACAGTCTAGACTGTCTTTTCTGTCTTTGGGACAAGATTACATTTGATCTAAGAAGTGTCCAGTAGGTCTGCCTATAGAAGACTATTATTCCCAAGGATATATTTGTTTTATTCCAATTTCATGTGATGCTTGGGCTGAGTTCATGGTTCTTTAGTAAGAAAGACGTCTGTCAAGGTAGAACATTGAATCACTAAGCCTTAGAGCTAGGAAAGAATTAACAGGCATTTAGTAGAGTCCCCCAGTTGGCAGAGGCAGAGGCAAAGGCTCAGAGAGATCAGTACCTTTCCAAAAGCTACTTTTTGAATTAGGTGCTAAAGCAGGTTAAGAAGCTTGGTTGCCTAGAGCCCTGTTTAGTGTTCTAATATGCCACACTATTTTTAATCTTCTTATTTGCCTAGTGCTATGAATTAAATGTTTGTGTCCCCCCAAAATTCATGTTAAAATCTTAACCCAGAAAGTGATGGTATTAGGGGGTGAGGCCTTTGGAAAATGATTAGGTTATGAGGGTAGATCCCTCATGAATAAGATTAGTGCCCTTATAAAACAGACTTCACAGCCCTGGCCAGTTTGGCTCAGTGGTTAGAGTGTCAGCCTGCAGACCAATGAGTCACAGGTTGGATTTCAGTCAAGGGCACGTACCTTGGTTATGGTTCATCTTCGGCCCTGGTTGGGGTCATGCGGGAGGCAACCAGTTGATGTGTCTCTCTCACATTGATGTTTCTCTCTCTCTTTCCCTCCCTCCCACTCTATCAGAAGATAAACAGAAAAATATCCTCACAGAAAAAAAGAAAGAAGCAGGCCTCACAGAACTCTCTTGCCCCTACCACCACGTGAAGCTACAGAAAAAATTTAAAAACCAACCATCATGGAAATGGACATCAATTCTTTTTTTTTTTTTAATCCTCAACTGAGAATATGTTTTCACTGATTTGAGAGAGAGAGGAAGATGGGGAGAAAGAGAGAGAGAAACCTCGATCTGTTGCCTTCCGCATGTGCCCCAGCCAGGGATCAAACCCGCAACTTAGGTATGTGCTGTGACTGGGAATCGAATCTGCAGCCCTCTGGTGCGTGGGCTGATGCTCCAACCGAGCCACCCAGCCAGGGCTTCACCAGACACCAAGTCTGCCAGTGGCTTGATCTTAGACTTCTCAGCCTACAGACCTATGAGAAAGAATCTTCTGTTGTTTATAAGCTACCCAGTCTGTGATATTTTGTTATAGCAGCCTGAGCGCCTAAAACACCTACTATGAAAGTCATTTGTGCCGTTCACCAATATTTCCTTTGGGGAATAAAGGAAGAAGTTGGGCGTGGCCATGTGACTTGTTTAAGCCAATGAAATGGAAGCAGAAGTGAAATGTGTCACTTCCACTTTAAGAATCTGTATGTGATTCACCAAGTTCCCTTTCTGCTGCCATGGCAACAGGCAACATACTAAATGATAAAGGTTCTACCAGTTGAGGACAATGAAGAGCAGAGCCCCAGCTGACTCATAAAGGACGTGTAACATGATTGAAAAGTAAACCTTCATGGTTTTAAGCCACTGAGATTTGGGGGTTGTGACTGCAGCATCACTAACCTCTCTCTGCTAGGTAAGCCTGAGTTACATCACCATTCCCGTGATGCATCGCTGTGCATGAACACCTAAGAGGATAAACAATGCAGCACATCAGAATACAACCCCATTAAATGTTCCAAATTCCATGTCTCACCAGCATTCTTTCTTCCTCTTGGTTTATATTAGGGGTGGGGGATGTGGTTCATTACAAAGAATGAGTATTTTGATAGCTTCTCATTCTTGGAACTATTCTGCAGGTAAGTGCCTGGTGGAAATTTCTTCTAGTCTGAGTTAAAAACATAATGAATTAGATTGTTTTATTAAGCTCAATGCATTATGACCTCAAATGCATCATCCTGTACTTACATGCATACATGTGCAAAGCTCTTTGGCTTTCTCTGAGGGCTTTTTCTCTAGATATTCACAGCACCTTGTGTTTCCTAACTTTATAAGCACCAACATTACAGTAACATGTTGCTTAAATCACATCATCAGATTTCCAAATTAATGGTTATAAATTAGTGGAAGCTCCTCGTGGAGCAGTAAGAGAGCGTATATGACCTAGGGTAAGTCACTTAGCCTCTCTGGGCTTCAAATTTCCTCCTCTGTAAAATAGAGACAGTAATAGTACCTACCTCCCAGGGTTATCATGAGAATAAGCTGGGTTGTGCACATTCCGTCTGATTATAATTAGTGCATAATGTTAACTATGTTCGAGCCATAGAATGTAGAAAGTAAGATCGTTTCAGACCTTTTGCTTTCTAAGAAGGTTAAATTTAGAAACTGTTTAGTGATTTTTTTTTTTTTGAAAAGATGTAAAACCATGATTGTCTTCCTGGTGAAGGTTTTAATACATTTGGAAACACAAACAGATGGGTAGGCAAGTAAGTATTGCTAACAGTTTGGGAAATTTTTCTGAACTCCCTGTTGAGAACACACATCCAGATGGAAAAATCTTTAAAGGGCTGGACTCATTTATACTTTTTCCATCTTAAATTTTTATACTTTTCCAGGTTTATAACAAAGCTCAGGAAATGCTAAAGCTTAAAGGAGAATTGAGAGGTACCAAGAAAATGAAAGATGAGGTAAGTCTTCTAACTCCTGTACATACATGGAATTGAACCTCAGTTACAAGGGACTTCTTTTCAAGGTTCGTAATTCAAAATTTCACTGATAAGCATCCAAAAATATCACAGACAGAGGTGGGCAGCAGGGAACAGCATTTAATAGCCCAGACTTCAGCGAGGTGGGTCTGAGCCCACGTTTAATTGCAGTATGATATCGGGCATGCTGCATACCCTCCCAGAGTTTCCTGTCTTACCTAAAAACATGAATAATGAGCACCTATTTCAGAGGCTTACTATAAGGATTAGGTGAAATACTGCATGTAAAACACTAGTGCTTGATGCCCTGGCCAGTTTGTCTCAGCAGTTAGAGCGTCAGCCAGAGGACCAGAGGGTCACGGTCCCAATTCCGATCAAAGGCACGTACCTCTGTTGCAGTTCAGGCCCCAGCCCTAGTTGGGGCGTTGTCGAGGTCATGTGGGAGGCAACCAGTTGATGTGTCTCACATTGATGTTTCTCTTTCTCTCTGTCTCTCTTGGTCTCTCTCTGTCTCTCTCCCCCTCCCTCCCTCTCTCTTCCTCCCTCCCACTCTATCTGAAGATAAATGGAAAAATATCCCTTGGTGAGGATTTAAAACAAAAACACTAGTGCTTTAGACAGAGAAAGCACTTTAAAAATATTAACTATTGTTTCCAACATTCTCTCTTTATCTGAAATGATCCAGAAGTGGAATGTTCTGATTAGTCTAATATATTTGGTCAAATTGTGTTTATGCATTACCTGACTTGTTCTCGAAAGGATTTAAGAGGTATGTTTTGGTTAGGTTACGGTTGTCCCACATGACATATGCTTTTTAACAGACCTCCTACTAAGAGGTGAGCAACTTCTAAAAGGGGTGTTTCAGCTCCTTTCCCACTGGACTACAGAGGGAGCTGTACAGGACTCACCGGAAGTTCGGCAGGGAACCAGGATCTGGTATGGATTTTCTAGAAGGGCGTTCCTTTATTCAGTTGATACCTTTGCAGAACCTTCAATGTGTCAGGCGTTGTTCTGGGGCTGGGGATAAAGCAGTGAACAGAATAGACAAAGATTCCTGTTCTCGTGGAGCTTACTTTCTAGTGAAATCATTTCTCCAAGGATATGATGGAGAAAAGTGTGTGGCAACTGCCCAAGTGCCAATAAAAATTGCCCCATATTCTATAGGTGGCTGACTTCTGCCATATGACGTGTATCCTGAACCATATACTTTATACAGTGTGCCAATTTTTAAAGAATTTAGAACACAGGATATACTCATTCTTCACTATATAAATATATTTGGTTCCACATTTTTTGCTCACAGACAAGAATCTTGTACAAGTGCCCATTAATTCCCATCATCAGTAATCAAAAACTACAATGTTTCTATAGATGGAAAAGTAAACTCAGGAATCAAGCAATATCACTAACAGTATTTGAAATTACTATGGATAACTGTAAATTCTATTAGTACATGAGTAAAATGTAAAAATTCCTGAAGAAATGTTAATTTTTAAGGTTTCATGCTCTTTATTTTGTTTTGTTTAATTGATTTTTTAGAGAGAGAGGAAGGGACGGGGAGAGAGGGAGAGAGAACCATCAATGTGAAATCAAACATTGATCGGCTGCCTCCTACACGCTCCCTTACCAGAAATCCAGCCTGCAACCTGGGCATGTGCCCTGGCCAGGAATCAAACCAGTAACCTTTCTGTGCATTTGACGACACCCTACCAACTGAGCCACACCAGCCAGGTCACAATTTCATGCTTTTTAAAACATAACTCTCTTATATAAGCTTATATATATTGAATTATAGTGGTGGTTAAAGTGGCTTTTCACTGTTTGATGAAAGTTTGTCATTATCCTCAAAGTAGATAATTTCCCAAAGCTGATGACCTTTTATGGTGTTGTTGCTTGACCCCAAAATATCCCTGGAAACTTCCACCTAAGCTTTCTTGTTTTTTCAAGTGCCAAATGCCTGGGAGTGCTGTCATCTTAAACCTTATAATGCTCTTGGGATTTGAGAATGCTACTGAATCACAAGCCTCGGTTTATCACCAGCATCCCCCCAAAAGAGCATGAAGCTATCTGTCAATACTATAAAACCTAGAGCAAAATTTCTTGCCATCTTTTGGAATATATGTTCAAGAAGGCATACTCTTTGGAAAGAGATCCACTTAATTAATACAGAGAATTTGCTTCAATAAATAACCTATTTTCCAATAACTATCATGAGTATGGTAGCAACTGCAATTATCAGCACTCACCATTTTGCCTGTGGTTGGATGATGTCACATGCCTTCACACAAAGTGACCAGGTTCCAACCTCATATAAGCAAAAATGAAAATCTAAGTGCCTGGTTTATGTAAATGAAAAGTTACCTAGCATCAGAAGCTTGTGATTTCAGACATCATTAATGATTTCAGGTTTAGGACAGGATCAGATGGGGCCTGAGGGTCAGCATTATGACTCTCAGTTCATCTCATGCCCCCGTACTGGTTACAGAGCTTTGATTGATGAAATGTCAGATTAAATCAATTCTTACCACATACTGATACTCAAAAGGCATCTGTCTGGAATTTAGCCTTCATAAAGTAGATAGGATTAGAAATAGTGTACAGTGACCTCGGTGCAAGATATTAGCAAGAAATTAGGTTTACTGGAACCCCAGAAACACTTGCCTTTCTGGAGTTCTGAGGTGAGCACAGCCTCTTTTTACAATTTCCTACAGTAAAAAATAATACGTGATTCAAGGAAATCACTTTATTGCTCTCCCAGCAATTCTACTTCTGTTCTGATGAATAAAAACCTCTGTATGATTTGGCCTTTAGGAGTGAATGGTTAGATTTTGATTTCAAAAGTAAATTTCATTTGACATCTGGCAAAACACATTTGTTATTCAACTGGTTTAGGGACTCCTCAAAGAAAGATTATTTATTCTAAAACCCTTGTGCTATGAACGAAGAAATTGCCTCAGAGACTCCAAGTCAATCCTAATGTCCAAATTAGATGAGATCATCTGCATTAAAGATCTAGTTCTGAAGTCCTGGTCAGGCAACAGAATTGGACTAGCAGGCCTTCAGCTCAGAGGACATCCAAAACTGGAGGGAGAGGGCATCCTCTGTTGCCCTCTCCTGAAAAAGAGAAGGAATTTAACTTTTAACTTGGGAGGTTCTGGTGTATAACGTACTTCGTTAATGAGTCCACAGTGTGCCAGGCTCCATATGGAACAGTCCGGTGATAAGGTCCTTGCCTTAAGATGCATGCATTCAGCATCAAAGCAAAAGTACAAGGTATTTAGCGCTTCCATAGAGCAGGCCTTGTATTGTCACCTAATGTCTTCATAGATCCCAAAGAAAGATAATTTGGGGGCAAGAGGTGGGGATCCCTAGGGTCTCACTCCCAAATTAGCCTCTGAATCCTATTCCCACCATGGCAGCCATGACAGAAGGGATTTAAAGCGCTGGACTCAAACTGCTGCTCCTCGTCAGGTCAAGAGTTCTGTTTTCCAGTTAGAAAACAGTGTCTGTACACTACTTTTTTTTTTTTAAGCTACTCTACACACATTCTCTTAAGAGAGTCCCTGGTAATTGTCTTAATGGTAATTACGTGCTTGGGGCAGTTTGACATCCACTGTTATTTTTCTGAAAGTGAGGAACAAGGGATGGGAGGAAGAGGGAGAGTTTTGAGATAATGAAATCCTTTTAATGACAGAGCCATGCCGTTAACCTAATTAAACTGTAAAGTGGTAAAAAAAAAAAAAAAAAAAAATCCAGGTACTAAATGGAAATGAAGAAATAAATCAGCAGAGACAGCAGCACTTCTGGGAAACCCTCTGGATTCCGAATACTGTGACATTGTAGTGTCCGATTCTCGGGGTTCTTCTCTGGCCCCCTCAGCCTTGTGCAGAGGATTCTTACACTGCCCTGTCCAGGAAGGCTTGATTTACGAAGTCCATATCAGGTCTCCAGCTCCTCAGGGAATGCATGTTATGTAGCTCATATATTTAGGAAGCCGGAGCAGGTGGTGGGATATGGTGACAGAGTGCTGGCTACAGGGTCAGGAGAGCAGAACTCTCCTCATTCTGCAGCTAACCAGCTATGGGACCTTGTTGCTTGGATCATTTTCTATTTCTTTGCACCCATAGCTTCTGTGTGCATTTGCACCTGCAGCTTTCTCGGAAGAACTGCCCTTAGGCTACTGGGGTCACTTTGCTCACAAGAGCACAGAGCTGGAAGTCCTCGAGAGCTTGTCTCCCATGGGGCTGCCCTTATCCATTGACTGGCTGATGCTGAATCTGACAGCCCAGCTTTCGGTACATCTAATCACGACAGACTCTGAGGTTTAACTTAAACTCCAGATTTCTCTGTGGGATCAGACTAAAGCCACTGTCCACAGGACTCTGTCTGAAATCCTGCCCCTGCTTGGTTTCTTCCCCTTCCTGGTCCTGCTTCCCCCCACTTCCTTGCTGATTGCTCTTGGGAATCTTTCTTTAATGGGTGCCATGAATGTTCACCTATGAGGCTGCTCTGAGTTACCTAACATATGACAGGTCCTACCATAAAAGCACCAGCCTCAGTTCCAACACCTGAAACTCAGAGGTGGTAAGTAGTATCTGTTCTCATGAGTGTTGTAGACAGTTGTACGTTGCTGGACTAAAGCACTGGACAGGTTCACAGAGGGTTACTTTCTAATTTCTTTTCACATTGATGCCAGCCACCCACAACACTGGCTGATGGCACCCTAATGTAATGGAGCACCCACCCTGTTACCACAGCTCCACACCCCCAACCCCACCGAAAGTACTATGCTTCACACTCTCTGTTAGTAATTTCAATCACTGATTTCCATTCTGACCTCGAAATAATTAACCTTTTTCACTCGTATTCAGAGTCAGTGATCTTATATAATCAGCCCAGGGATTTTACTTTTATTCCCAGTAGTGTATGTCTCCAAAGAAAAAGCACTAGGTTTACAGGTGAGGGAGGTATTTTGGTTTAGTGGGTAGAAGAGAGTTAAGAGACTTCAGAATCCACATCAGCTCTATCACTGATTCACTAGACTTGACAAGTTCATTTGACATCTCAATATGTTCATTTCATCAGTGGCAGAACCATTAATATTTATAGACAATCCACGAGGTGCCTGGAATTATTCTAGGCACTGACTTCCTCTTGAAAAACAGGGGAAGTGTGTGTGGTGCACCTACAGCAGTGGGCGAAGATTAATTAAATAAGGAATTGTCTGAATAATGTGGAGCCCTCAGACACCTCAAAAATGAAGAATATGTCAATGTTGCACGGAATGAGCAACAACAGCAAAGGGTACACGGACAAATTTCTAGCAAATTTAAAGTCTCTGTCAACCAGTTAAGTGAACAAAAGTAAGCATTTGTTTGATGATTTATCATTGATGCTTCTGCTTTTCTAACTGCCTAGGTGGGGGAGAGACACAGAGACATGAGCAGCCTGAGCAGCAAACTTTTGAGCCTGCAAGTTGATATCAAGAATCTACATGATGTTTGCAAGAGACAGGGGAAGACCTTGCAGGAGAATCAGCTCTGTGTGGAGGAGGCGATGATGAACAGCATCCATGTAAGGGTTTCAGCAGTTGCCACCCACCTCTGCTCTCTCGACTTTCACTCTGCTCCCTTGGCCAGGAACAATAATAGAAAGTTCTTCCACAAGAGCATTTATTGAGCAAGCAATGAGAAAGAATTAAACACATCTGCGCTCTCTCTCTCTCTCTCTCTCTCTCTCTCTCTCTCTCTCTCTCTCACACACACACACACACACACACACACACACACACACCATCCTGCCCTCAGAATTTTTCAGTCTAGCTGTCTCCAAGGTCATCTATATCTGAGGCTCTGTCTTTTCCTTATCTGGCCTTTCACACCTGGATTTGTAGCACCTGTGGCCATTTCCCTGCAAGACCAAATTATAGTTATATAAGTAGAGCAGCATCTCCTAATGGATCTTAAACAAACTTCTGAGCTAACCAAAAAATAACAACATTTTCACCTGCTCAGAAGTATCACTGTTTATCAGTGTAGCAGGTACTTTTTTTTCTTTTCTCTTTCTTTTTTTTTGTCAAAGAACTAGTTTATATATTTTTTTACACTTAATATTATTGTGTTTCCTTTCAGGTGTACAGCATAGTAGTTAGACAATTATATACTTTACAAAGTGTTCCCCCTGATATTTCCAGTACCCAACTAGCACCATTCATAGTTATTACAATATTATAGACTATACCCCTATGATGTACTTAGCATCCCCATCATTATTCTGTAACTACCAATCTGTACTTCTAATTTCTTTACCTTTTTTAACCAGTCTCCCAACCCCTCTCCCCTTTGGCAACCAATCAGTCTGTTCTCTGTATCTATGAGTCTGTTTCTGTTTTGTTTGTCCATTTATATTGTTCTTTTAGATTCTACATATAAGTGAAACTGTATGGTGTTTGTCTTTCTCTGACTGACTTCTTTTATTTACCATAATACCCTCTAGGTCCATCCATGCTGTCACAGATGGTTAAGATTTCATTCTTTTTTGCCCTGGCCAGTGTGGCTCAGTTGATTGGAGTGTTGTACCGTACACTGAAAGATAGCAGGTTCTATTCCTGGTCAGGGCACATTCCCAGGTTGCGGGTTCGATCCCCAGTTAGGGTATATATGGGAGGCAACCATTCAATGTTTCTCTCTCTCTCTCTCTTTCTCTCTCTAAAATCAATAGGATCTCATTCTTTTTTGCTGAGTAACAGTCCATTGTATATAGGTACCACTGCTTTTACATCCACTCATCCATTGATGGGCACCTGGGCTGCTTCCATAACTTGGCTATTGTAAACAACACTGCAGTGAATGTAGAGGTACATATATTTTTTTGAATTCATATTTTGGGTTTGTTTGGATATATACCCAGAAATGGAATCACTGGGTCATAAAGCAGTTTTATTTTTAATTTTTTGAGGAATCTCCATACTGTTGTCCACAGTGACTGAACCAATCTGCATTCCCACCAATACTGCACGAAGGTCCCCTTTTCTCCACATCTTCACCGGCACTTTTTGTTTGTTGATTTATTGATGACAGTCATTCTGACAGGTGTGAGGTGATATCTCATTGTGGTTTTAATTTTCATTTCTCTGATGATTAGTGATGTTGAGCATCTTTTCATATGTCGTTTGGCCATCTTTATGTCCTCTTTGGAGAAGTATCTATTCAGGTTCTTTGCCCATTTTTTAATTGTATTGTGTGTGTGTGTGTGTGTGTGTGTGTGCGCTGAGTAGTTCTTTATAAATATTGGATATTAACTCCTAATCAGATGTATCATTGGCAAATATGTTCTCCCATATTTGGACTGTATTTTTACTGAATTTATTGGGGTGACGTTGGTTAATAAAAATTATATAGGTTTCAGGTATACAATTCTATAATACATCATCTGTATATTGTATTGTGTGTTCACCACCCCAAGTCAAGTCTTCTTCCATCACCACTTATCCCCCCTTTACCCTCTTCACCTCCCTTGCTACCCTCCTTTCCCTCTGGTAATCACCATACTGTTGTCTGCATCCAGGAGTTGTGTTTTCATTTTGTTGATGGTTTCCTTTCCTGTATAAAAACCTTTTAGTTTGATATAGTTTCATTTGATTATTTTTTCTTTTGTTTCTCTTGTCCAAGTAGATATTTCAGGGGGAAAAAAGAGAGAGAGAGAGAAATATCTGAGATTTTACTGCCTTTTTTCATCTAGGATTTTTATGGTTTTGAGTCTTACATTTAAGTCTTTACTCCAATTTAAGTTTATTCTTGTTTGTGATGTAAGAAGGTAATCTAGTTAGTTTGTTTAATTGTTGGTTGGTTGTTTTGTTTTCTTTTTTTGTTTTGCATGTATCCAATTTTCCCAATACCATTTATTGAATAGACTGTCTTTGCTCTATTGTATGTTCTTGCCTCCTTTGGTCAAAAAATAATTGATCATATAGGCATGGGTTTATTTCTGAGCTCTTGATTCTGTTCCATTGATCTATGTGTCTGTTTTTATGCCGATATTATGCTATTTTGATTACTATGGCCTTGTAGTATAGTTTGATATCAGATAATATGATTGCTCCAACTTTGTTTTTCGATGTCAAGATTGCTGTGGCTACTCAGGGTCTTTTGTGATTCCATATAAATATTTAAACTACTTGTTCTAGTTCTGTGAAATAAGTTACTGTTATTTTTTAGCAGGTGCTCTTTATCGCCACACCTGTAGCTCTCTGCCTGCAGCTTTTCTTCTTGATGCAAGAACCCAATCACAGGATGAGCTGGGGTGTGAAAAAGTTAATGCCTCTAGCAGCAGCCCTCAATCAATGACTGATGGCGAGATAGTAGATTTAAAAACCTATCTCCCTTGCCCCTCAGTCAAAAATAATTCCAGCCCTGGCCGGTTTGGCTCAGCGGTTAGAGCGTCGGCCTGCGGTCCAGAGAGACCTGGGTTCGGTTCCCGCTAAGGGAATGTACTTTGGTTGCAGTTTGTCCCCAGCCCTGGTTGGGTCGTGCGGGTGGTAGCCACTCGATGTGTCCCTTTCACATCGATGTTTCTCTCTCTCTCTCTTTCTCCCTCCCGCTCTATCTGAATAAAAAATGGAAAAATGTCCTCGGGTGAGGATTAAAAGAAAAATAGATAAATAATTCCAGGCATTCTCTTTGCTTTGTCCTCAAGCTCCTCAATGGAACCCAGCATCAGATGCCCGCAGTGGTAACTAGCTTGATAACACACCCTTTTACAACTTCCTTCCCTTACTTATCTTATTTTATTGCTCTACTCCCTGAGATCATCTCCCATGTAAACTACTACTTGACACTCAGTTCCTTGTCACAAGGTTTGCTTCTGGTGGTGTCTCAGCCAAGATACTCAGTAACACTTGTCCTACACATGTGTGAACAGAAAGACTTCCTGGCACCGTCACCTTTCTTGAGATTGTGGCTTTGAACTAGTGCTTATCTGTCACCTAAGCAATTGATCAGCTGAAGCAACCTCATTTCACTCTGAGGTTTTGTCTTTTTGGAAACTCTAGCACTAAGTCCTTAAACCAGTCTCTAAATTTATCCACACAGGCTAGGGGACCAGCTGGAAAATACTTTCCCAACACTCTCTGAACACTTTGGGTTTCCAAGAATTTCTTACTCTTTAGGAATTTGAGTTCTTGGCCACCAGAAAGCAGGTGCTGGTTGCACAGACCTGTTCTGGACCCCACATTAGCTTCTTAGCTGCTGTGTAAGCAACCACCATCTTCGTCAACATTTGTGGTCAAGGATCTGGTCTCTCTTAATGGTGTCTGTTAGAATTCTCCCAGGATTTACCACCCCCCTATAAAAACCACAGATTATTTCTCTTTAATGCCCTAAAAATGCTACCAACAAAGCAATTCTACCTTATCTTACTGAGCATTGCTGTATAGAAAAACCCATTGGTTTTCCTAAATGGATCTCAGGAAGAATATTATCATAATTTACCTCTTTCTAAATATTAATGTTTTCTAATATTTTCACCATTGCTGTCACACGTTTATTAATTCCCCAAGTCAGGGAAAGCCTTGTGGCTTATAAATACTTGGCAACTTGGAAAGAGAAAGATATTAAGTCACATTTTATAATTCTAATTGCCCAGAAGGTCTAACAGCTTGGAACAAGCTTTAAAACCGGCTCTTTTTTTTCCTAGCACTTAGTGCAGAATTTCAGTTGCAGACTACACATACAAATACACAATTAGGTGTGGACTTATACTCATCTACTCAGAAAATCCCTGCAAGATCAGCCTTCTACAAGGAAGTGTAATATGGGAACAATGTGGGAACCCAAGAAAGCAGGAGGTCATAGTTCAGGACCACAGTTATATTACATCAGATGTTATGTGTAACTAAAGGCATAGCAGGCAGGGAGTGGATGATGAGGAAAGAAAATGACATAACCTCATAAATCAAGAATATACTGTGTTCCAAAACCCAGGAACAGAGCTGGGCTAAGGTAAAGCAAGTGAGGTGCCTGGCGTGAAGAGTTTAAGGGGCATTCACTCTTCAAGTGCCAGCCCTTCACTTACTGGATTCCCGACTACGACTAGGAGAGCGAGAGCCTCCTTGATATTTGCATGTCAGTTGCTTCACTCTAGTTCCTACCCTGGCCAGGAATCAAACGAGTGTCTCAATTAGCGTGAAAGGAGAAAAGAACAACAGAGACACTGTGATGATCAAACCAGAAAAGGAAAGGTCTCTTTGAACAATTTTGCAGACTTCTTTGGTCCTGGTGGTGGCATGGGGAGAATACCCTGATATTCAGAAGGGCTCAGATTGTCCAACTCATCTCTGAAATGTATGGAGGACATTATTTTTAGCATAACACTCTGTAAGATCTTTGATTTCTGCAAATAAAAGTAATTAGTAACAATTAATCGACTCTCAGTGAAAAAGATCACACAGCGATATCATTTTGAATCATTGGGAATAAAAAAGTTTTAAGTACATATACTAAATGCAATGTGGGATCTGGGATTGGAGCCTGGAACAGAAGAAAATACATTACTTGAAAAACTCTTAAATCCAAAGA